AATAGTCGAAAATGGGAATTTGGCAAGTTTTAGTTAACGTTATATAACATGATGGCGATAATTTAAGAATGGAAACAATGTATACAACAAAGCACGATTGAATATAAAAGTGGAGTGCAGTTTGAGTCCAGACGAAAGATCCTTTTGGATTTATAATAATTGGTGAAGCTCGCCAAAATGAAGGTTACGTTCCTCTTTCAGCGGAACGAAGTTGGTAAGGCATTCTTTATTAAACAAGGTGTTGGCTTTCACACTCCATCATTTTAAAATTGTTTCCTGAGAATTGTCATCCAAATGACCAACTAGTTGAAATAATAGACAGGAAACTTGATAAGGAATCTATCATTTTGAAATACTGATGTTTAATTTCATCCTGAAGTTCGTTTTGTGATATGGTGCCATATATATAAAAAAAAAAGGCACGCATAAGAATGGAAGAATGTCAAGGATTTATTTTAAGTTCAATACCTTATTAAACCAAGAAATAATTTTTGTATAGGAAGTTATGTTGTGTCTTCTGTTTCGTAACCTGAGGTTGTTGTAGGTTTTTTGGCCATTTCACAATAATTTGTCATACGCTCTGTCTTAATACGATTTACATCAGAGCTTTTTCGATTGTGTGAGCCACGTGGTTCGAAAATAGAAAAGTGGACAGGATGTCCCACAGACTTGCGTGTCGCAATTGCTGATGAACTGTTCCTGTACTAATTTGCTTTCGTTGTTCAATATTGTAGGGAAAGAGCTAAAATTCTGACTTCGCATCTGGTTTTTTCCACCACATGCATCTTTAGAGCTTTTGAAGTTTAGCCAACATAGTTTCGCATGCTTGAAATTCCTATGTTTATTTTTCCATCTGCTAAGAAAGAGACTGGCATTCTAATAAATGTTATAGTACTCAGATATTTTGGTAACCTGGTTTTTAATTTGAATCTGATGGTTAGTTTACCACTACAAGATTGTATTGATTATGAGAAGTGAATGAGAAATGCAAGTACGAGTTTATTCTATCACGAATTTTATTTCCAAGCAATTAAAGCTTTTGAATAGCGACGATGTCTTAAAAGGTAAAACACGCCAGCGGTTAGGCAAATAATTTGAATAAACTTAAAAAAGAAATTTCAGATTAACGAGTCAATGTTAAGCTAAAGTGCCTTTATAAAGTTCATTGCATATCAAGAAGGTGGATAATAGCCCATGAGAATTGTGCCAACAGACCATTACGAAATGCTATCAGCCAGTGTTCTTTTAGAACAGTCCATTTCTGATTTGTAGAACATTCCTTTCTTTCAAAATAAAACTGGGTGATTTGTGGTTACATCTGAATTACTATTGCTTTTTCGTAACGAGGGTTTCACTCATAGACTCGAGGCTGAAGTTCACACTGTTACTTTGAGAATGGATTATATCTCCAGTTACTTTTTATCATCACATTTGTTCTTTATTCAGAGGTAAATTCTCGCTCTATCCTTACCTGTTACTGTGTTGTGTGCTAAAGCCTTTCGATTTCCTTATTTAGAATTCGAATCGTCAGCTTTTTTACAAAACGTTGGAAAATAGCGAGTGTTCAACAGAGCAACGGTTTTTTTTTTTGTCTACAAGTCACAATTCTTTTTTCCTCTTGGAGTGTTAGCACAGACTTGGCAGTACTGTTACGTGTCGAGCATTTGCTCTTTGTTTGTTTGTTTGTTTTTTTTTTAAACGATGTTGTACCTTTCCAAAAGCAGCGGTGTCAGTTGAATATATTATTATAGTGAATTAGAGAATGAAAAAAAAAAACATTCTTGAGATCCAGTATGCTTAATACAGGTTCTTTTACCAAAAATAAGGAGCAAAACCTTGATCTTTCAACTTTGCTACCTTTATGACTAATGGTGATCAAATATTCAGAGATTACAGAATAGTTTTGACACTTCAATTCGATTCAGCTTCATTTCTTTTCAGTTTTAATTGTTTTCTTTTTTACTCTTTACTTTTTTTTTTCTTTTTTGCGTCATTGTTAAATACAGGTAACAAGCAGTGGTTTTTTAAAACGAAAATTGAAGCACGAAGGCTCTACCAAGTATCAGAGAGACCGTTAAAAGAAGGGTTCGGCTAATATTGTGCTTTATTAGTGATGTAGAGTGTGATCTTCAAGATGGAAATAAATCGAATTTAGCATATCATCTTGTAGGTCAAATTTTCATTGTTATTTTAAAACATCACCCGAAATTCACCATTAGCAAAGTGACTTTTCTCACAATGTACATTAGAAGTCATTGTTGCTGTATTGGCGTTTGATGTTTCCTACCTTCTTTCTTTATTTTGCCTTTTATTAACGCAAGAAACATCAATTTTTTAATCTATATACGTACAATTTTACGGAAGCTGTTATTTGTGGCAAACTTGAAACTGTCCATAAGAAAATGCCATCGAGCATGGTTTTAACGATTGCTTTTTCCTCCTTTTGTAAAAGGTAAGGTTTCGTAAAAGTAGATTCCTCTTTAGCCTCGTTTTTCTCAGGATTAATCTAGCGAAAGTGTTAGACTATCTAAATTTTGTTTCCTCTACCTTAGCAACCATTTTGACCTAAAAATAATCACTTTGCAGAAATTTAAACATACAAATGCCAAAAATATGTAAGGTAACGTTTAATTCACTTTCACCTCAGTTTTTAAACATATAATTCAAGGGAGCACGTACCTTGCGATGAAATGGAATTAAAAAACCTACTCGTTGACGCCTAAGATCACGTACCGGTGTAGATATAGCTCTAAAGATTAACGACTGGACTAAGTCCAAAACTCAGAAATTTCCCTTTAGCTAATTATAGCTACATAATTCTCTAAATCTAATGTTGCTCTCCTGTCAAGTGGGTGGCAGATAGTTGATTCACTAGTTAGTAATTCTACATTTGATTGCATGTCCCTAATAACCATTTTTTTAATTGTTAATAATACGGTTAGAAAGCTTTTAATAAAAGATAGACAGTTCAAGTGTAATTTCTTCGTAACAGTTTTTTCTTTCCAAAAAGTCTCATCAAAACAAAAATGCATTATTAGATGCTTTTTCATACAACAAAAAAGATTTCGTCAAAACAATGCTGGTTCTAAGGGTTTCTGTACTTAAAATGTAGTGAAATTTCCTTGCATTAGAACTAGCAAGTATTCATAGCATTTCCGAGTTTTTTTTGCGTGTGTAGCGCTTTCACCACGATGAAAACTAAAATTTAAAACATCCGTTTGATGCTTTGTGAGATGTAACGTGATCACTTATTTCATTATTTTTGTCTCTAATTCATATTTTCAATTTACATCGCAGTTCCGGTTCTATTTTTTTTTTTTTAGCAAGGTGGCCATATTTTAGCAGTTTTCACTGATATATTGAAACAGTTACCGTTAAAAGCAAACTTCCGACAAGAAATAGAGGTCTTTTGGTTACGCCTGGTGTGATTAACTCAAGGCATAACGTGAACATTAATTGTCACAATTTCCTTGTTTCAAATTTTAAGCCATGCGAGCAACCAAGGAAACAAAACAGACCACAAAGTGGCACGTGTAGACAACTTGATCGAGCGGCATTTTGACATATTTGCTTTGTTCTCATTCAATTTCCTTAAGTAGTCTTAATTGGTTTCCAAAGTGAATAAGAAAAGAAAATCTTATAGGAAATGTACGAGATAAAGAAAAGTTTCGGATGAAGTTCGCTTTAATTTATATTATGATTTTTAAGAGGAAAAATACCAGTTTCTTCTAATTACATACGTGAAAGACTAGCATAACATCACCTTCTGTGCATATATTCGTCGTCTTCTTCCGTTTTTGTTTGAGTTGTACAATTCATCAAGATGTCTCGTATCCAAAAGTTAAGAATTAGCACAATGGAAGGTCTGCACTTCAGTTAACAATTATTCGGTCGCATTTCGTGGCCCATGGCCCATGTTGAGTTTCCTACAGCACGTCGAAATTTAAAATTTGTTTCCTCTTCAACTTTGTTGTCAAAAAAGAACTTAGTAGGAGGCCAGTGCATCTCCTCTCGAGGCTCAAATATTTGTCAGTAACGAAGTACGAGGAAATAAGGCGTTTTGCCACCAAGTTCTTCATTACCGCGTCGTAATTTTCCTAAAATAGAAGTGTTGCTGAGGTTTCTTTGTCTAATTTTCAGTGTCACATTTGTTTTGAGAGACGTCCTCGCATTATTATGAGTCTGTTGAAGCTAGGAGGTGCCTCATGTTGCAATTATTTACTATACACCTTTTCATTCTTTCGAAAACTGCGTCAAGACTGATATAATCGTAGGACAAATCTACTCTCCCATTGAAAAAAAATTGTCCTGATTATCAACAACTTTGGCTCATTTATCTCAGCGCAAATAGAAACTGCAAAACACCTAGTTTGGACATAGTTTGGCTTTTTGCATCGCAAATAAATTAGCGACCTGATATTTGTTATGGTTAACCACGCATCCAAAGACTGAAAGGCGTCTGAAAAGTCCATAAACATATTTTTGAGGATTTTCAACATAATCCCCGAAGAAATCTGCTTCACCCTTTGCAAGCAGAAATTTCGTTGTCTAAAAGAAAATATGTTTTCTATCCTCGACGTAAAATATTTTACTCGGTTACGAGTAAAATAAACTCTCAATTTCCTCAAGCTCCATGGCAGGTGCAAATGCCGCCCTATGTAAAATTAATGAAGTAACCTAAACCGTTTGCGCATCATAGGCTGACAAATCATTAGTTTTAAGCTCTACATTTTAATAAATGGCTTTGCAACTGAGTTCTCATTAGTATGCTCAAGAGGAGCCCAAAGGAAAGCTCGAATCTGTTCAGATGCGGTCACAAGTGTAGAGGTTATCTCTTTAATGACGAGTCGTATTTCAGTAAGCTTATCTCGCGTGAGATAAGTGTTTTATAGGACCAGGCGATGCACAGCGAGCGCGAGTATCCATAGGATGCGGTTGGGAATACTTTCGATCCAGTTGGCGAACATAATATTTCCTTTCTTTTCAACTGCTACAAACGTCACGTAACTGTCAGGACAAAGATACATTGCGGAAGCTGGCGAGAATAAATAGCGGTGTCCTATAATCTGTAATACCAGTCAGCTTTGGCTCAGCAGCTCTCTTTAACCAGACGGTGTTCTCCAAGAAAACAGGGCTCTCGTTTAGAAAAAACATGACGGGGAATGGGTCTTACACAACGGACCTGACTGGTTTTGAAAGTTATTTCCTCGCTAGCGTGAACGTTTTTTTTAGTCTGTGCGGTATCTTGGGCAATGTGCTTGTCGTCGTTGTGATAGCGCGTAGCCGGCAACTTCACACCGTCTCTAACACGTTCATAACGAGTTTAGCAGCGGCAGATCTCCTCGTTTGTGTCGTTTCGCAGCCCATGAACGCAGTGTTCCTATATGGGTTGCCACCTAATACAACATACGGCAACACACGAAAGATGTTTTCATTTGTCTCCCTTCTGGCATCAATCAGCAACTTAGCTGTCGTGACAATCGATCGCTACATAGCCATCGTTAATCCAATGCAGTACCAGCTCAGAGCCAACTTCAAGAGCGCCTCTCTCCTCCTCTGCGCTATTTGGGTCGTGTCTTTGGCGCTGGGAATACCGAGTGGTTTCGTACGATCTATTCAACATATCACGGTGTACTATGTAATTGCACTCTTGTTCGTCATAATTCCGATCTATGTGCGAATTTATTCAATCGCTCGCAATCATGCAAGGCTCATCGCTAAGCAAGGGGAGCATATCAAGAGAGATTCAAAAAAAAAGATTGAAAAGGAAAATATAGCAGCAAAAACCATTGGGTTCGTCATAGTCGTCTTTATCATTTGCTGGTTGCCTTTGCTCATAACTCCGATGATTTTCCGTCACAGCGAGAACAGCCGTATTGTCAGAAAGTCTTTGAAATGGGTTCAGACTCTCGCTTTATGCTCGTCAGCCTTGAACCCTGTTATTTATAGCCTGAAAACGCAGATTTTCAGAAAGGAATTGAGAAAAGTTTTCAGGAGCTCTCTCAAACGACATTATCGGGCAGACCAACAGATGACATTTGTCTAAAAACTCGACTGTAAACAAACATTGATTTTCCTCGAAATTGATTTCGCTTTAACCATTATTTTGCGGAACCCTTTCAGGATAAAATTTTATTCAGAATAGGAAAGCGTACTAATGCAAGATCGAATGATTATAAAAATACTTTAATCGTTGCGCAAATAATCAATTTATTAACCATTCGAGTCGCGCTCGATAACCGAGTTGTTGTCATAACTTATTGCATAATAGATCCTGTTTTGAACTAGTCTTGCAACGACTATATTTCACAAAATATTTTCTCGATATGATATGCATGCAAGATTGTAAGTAACGTTTACTTTAGTTGTTAGCCAAACGGAAATTCGTCTAGCCGAATGACATCAAACTTAATCGCTCGGCGTTCTTAAAAAGTAGTTATCGTTATTCAGCGATGTTAGGCTTTTATATTTGTGTAGATATGGTCGACTCGTGGTTCTTTCCTGTTGCGCTCTTCAAAAGACACCAAAAAGTAAAAAAAAAAAAAAAAACACTCGTTCTAAAAGCCTTTTTTATAAGTATGCGTTTACAACAGTAGTATGTGATGTGAATTTTAATTTTGTTACTGCCTCAGCATTTTGAGATCAGTTTACGTAGCTCTCTCGGTACTTGAATCAAAGTTTTGACGTCTATTTGAGTGGCTGTTGGTTAAAGGTCACTTTGAGAGTCATTGCTAAAATATGTATGGACAACAATTAATAGAGTAAACACCCAAAAAGAAAATTTCCTGTCTGCCTTTTGTTTCAATCACCCACCTATTTCTCTGCAGGAGAGCCTTGTGAAATGTTACCCGGCTTCTCCTTTAAGATGTTTCGTTTCTATATGCATCATGCAAGGGAGTAAAAACAGCAATTTTTATTTCAAATGTATGCTTTGGTTTGGAAATTTGCGCAGCTTTTGTTCCTTTCGTTTTGCTCTGGCCAGGTCTCAATGAAGGTTGTCTCAGTGTACACCAACATCATGAAATAAAAAGTGATAGCTTTCAATAGTAGAAAGTATCCTAACTGTCCTATAACTATGATCGAAGCACTAATAACACATTTTGATCTGCCCATCTTTGATACAAATCGTGCCAAATTTTAAAGGGGTTGTCAGTTGTCAGCCGACTGCGCATTATCTGGACATTGATGACTGATATGAAGAAAGTTGTAAAATAATCCACCTACGGATTCTAATGTTTGACTATACAAAGAAAATTTTGATATAAAACCAAACAAGACTAGCCTGCGTTTTGAGAATGCTTATCTGAAACCTTCATGGACATTTTGTATAGCTAAAGCTTAATTTTTTTAAATATTCCGCATATGTTAACCTGAAAAACTGAAGAAAATTCTGATCACGTATACATATGTAATTAAATGATGGATCAGTCTTAAACCAGACATTGATGACAGTTTAGGTAAATTTAGCTACAATTTTTTAGCCCAAAATTGGATGCCCCTGGACATCCATCTCCAAGTCATTAGTTGCATGATAGGAATTGATTCCCTACTCGAATCTTCTATTCCAGAATAACCCACATTATCCGTGATTTATTCACTCTTACGGAAGCTTTGTAACTAACGGGATTAGTTATCTCATCACAGTTAATTTAAAAATCTACTATCGACGTCACACGTATCACCGGGTCAGTGGGTCTGGGTTAATGCCAAATAGAAAGTGTAAGTATATTTGCATCTAGTGATCAGTTGACTGATTTGAAAATCACAATGCGTAAGAATTTTCTGTTCAATCTTTCGTTCAATAGAGGCGATTTTTTTATTGTTCTTTTACTTAATGTTTTCATGAGCCTGGTGTGTGTGTGTGTTTGAAAACTTAACCTTCCGCGGTAGCCTCCGTGGAAATACTTATGAAGACAGCAATAGACTTCGTTTAGTGCACTACCTTAATGATATGATATTTGAAGATCTTTTACAGACAACTCAAAGGTCTCCCTCTGCCGATGATTTTTTTTTCTTTTTTCTTAAGCATGTTTTTGTCTTTGCTTTCGTTTTCACGTATTTAGATCATCTTTATAATTCTAACTAAACCTGCCATTTGGGAGTTTTTTTTTTGTTTGTTGTTTAGCACTTGCTGCAATGATGTTATCTGGTCAGTGATGCGCTAGTTACAATTATTTTTAAGCACTTTGAGCCCTTTTCATCTCTCAGTCGCTGAACACGTGGTGCTGTAGAACCATTATATAATTTTAGGGCTTATCTTAGATGTAACCTGCCTTTGGAAGAGAAACAATTGTCGTGGTGTTGTGATGAATTACAAGAACAGCTGAAGAACTATTTTAAGCCTGAAGCCGCCAAACCATAGTTCTCCTTCGACTACAGGAATTTCGTATTCTGAAGGAGTTACCCCCCGTACTAAAGAAATCTATCTAATATATTGAAAAAATTTCATTGTTCCACTAGCCTGAAAGTTTTTTCAGCTGTTTTAACAAATTTTTTTCCATCTTTTGTTGGCTCCACAGACATAATTGGTCTTAATAGATCCTTTTTTGGCAGAAATTTGACCATAGGACTTGAGTTATTGAAGTGTAGCCCCTGGAGTCTGTATAGAAGTATTACGAGATCGTGAGATATAGGGTGAAAAAGGTTATTTTGATTAAGGCTCATTAAATTGAAGTGAAATCATGAACGTGCAGCTGATGATGTAGTTACCACACATGTGGTAGAGTGAATTAGACGGATTTGTGACTAAGCGTCTGTTTATTATGAAGTAGAGACTAGCTATTCGCGACTTTTTTAGACCGATTGTCTCGTCAATGAAAATTTTGGGAATCAGTTTTGTTTAAAATATCAATGCTAACATGATAGTTTTCAGGATGATTTGGATCATCACATCACAGGGTTTTGTTCGATGGATTTTTATATCACCGTGATGTGACTAATCTACGGCCCAGTTTTTTTTGCTGTGAATTTCCTTTTGATCACCTATTTTTTTCCATTTATTTGTGTCTCAAAGCAAAGCAAAAAGAAAGCAAAGAGAAAGCAAAATGAAAATATCTACATGCGAAAGTTTGCATTTTAAGTTGTTATTGACCTGGCATTTTTAGGTCTTCAGATTAATATTGGTGTGCATTTAGTTGTTTATAGGCTGTTCCTCCTGTTTTTGTTTGATTTATCGATTCCATCATGATGACGTTGCTGGATAAAGTGCACTCATGGACCCCAGAAATTCCGTGCGAAAACTGATCTGCTAAACACAAGACGTTCTAAGCAATGAGAAGACACAAGATAATTCATTTTGGCATCGTATAACTGGTGTTGCTGTACAGATCTGAGGAATTTTAATGAAGATGTAACCTGGCTTTGGCAGCAATACAATTAAACTGTCGCGTGTTGATGATAACGTGATAACTGTAGAACTAGAGACGGATTTAGTGCGATTAACCATTGCCATCCATCTATAAAATTAAATTTGAAGTAGTATCCTTATCAAAATAAAGAATTCTCTCTATTCATAGCTGGAAAACCCTATTGTTCTATCTGCGTAAGACCCTGATTATGAAATCACTAAAGACCTTTTGTCAACTTTTTTGCTCAAAGTTGCGTTGATCTTTCCTTAGGTTAATCTCACTCAGATCAAATTGGCTTGACAAGGACTTAACTCTATTGAAATTTTGCGACCTGAAATTTGCTTTTACTGAAACTTCATGCTTTGTTGTCATAATCGCAAGATATAGAGTAAAGCACCGGTATCTTGGGATTAAAGGCTTGTTTGGATTCAGGATAATTAGTTTAAAACGAAAAGGTGACGTAAACTCATAAACATGCGGCAGTCCATGTATTCACTACCAATGTGTCAAACGTGTCGGTTACTTTGAAAGGCGCAATATAAACAGGAAGATTGATTAAACAGTGAGATAGAAAACACCGAGGAAGTAACAATGAGCCAAAGAGGAACAAGTAAGGAAAAATTTAACACGAATTATAAATTACGAAATCTGTGGAGCTCGCACATCTATGGAAATATAATTAAACAGGAAGATTGATTAAACAGTAAGATGAAAAACACCGAGGAAGTGAAAAAGAGCCAAAGAGGAACAAGTAAGGAAAAGTTTAACACGAATTACAAATTAAGAAATCTGTTCAGCTCATCTATGGCATTTCTGAATTCGATATTGGACCTTGCTCTTATTATTGTTTGCTCGGTTTGAATCGATCCAGGACCAGTTGCTGTTTAACTTACCATAATAATATTTGATAATAGCTGTAATAATACTAATAATAATAATAATAACAGGTAGACTACCAATAACTATGACAGTAATAATATTCCGGATAATGATATTAATAGTAGTAACTTTTGTTACTATTATTATCTTACAGGATTGTTCGTGTCTCTGCACTAGATTGAAACAAAAAACTAACAAATTAAAAACTCAATGAAAAAAAGTCTTATTAATCTAAATTTTAGGAAGCCTTTTGGCTGCCAAAATTACGCAAGCCCTCCTTAAAGCTCTCATGTTGTTACACCTTTTTTCAGTTAAACATTTGATCGAAACTTATAAGATAGGTAAGAATATCTTTAGCAACCTTGTTTCTTATTTTTTTTGTTTTGTCTTTTCTTTTCTGAATTTGTTCCAGTTGTACCTGTGGATTAACTGGACTTGCTGAAGCTGTGTTCGAAAATGTTGGTGCTCATAAAGAGGTAACTGGACAATTGTCGCACCTGAGATAAAAAACATTGTTTAGGTATAGAATAAAGGGGTAAGTTTTCAAAGAAACGATGTTACTGAGTCGATGGGGGTTCAAATGTATAGCGAGATAATTTGGTTTTATCGATTGAATTGATCATGTAAATTGGACAAGAGTTTTAAGAGTTAAGAGTTTTAAAGCTGACTGAACTCTTTACGGTGGCCAATTTACATTATCAACTCAGTTGTTTTAAAAACCAAATTATCTTTGGGAGTCGAGTTTTTCGGAGAGTGATTGAGCTATCCATGATTATTGTAAATTTCTTAACAGGTGCCAGTCTTTTACATACTTAAATATCATTTACATTTTCTTCGCTCAGCTGTTCTTTTAAAAAGATTAGACACCACAGATCGTTAGCTCTGATATCCAATAAACCCAAGTTTAACATTTCATCTTGGATTAGTGTCAAAGTGTCAACCAATTCCTGCTACCTCCTCACCTATGGTTACACAGGTGGATCAAACTCAGCGGGGGGGGGGGTAAAATTATTTATCAAGGAAGTTGCCTTTTTTTTTCTCTCAGTTCTCATCGATTTCATTAATTTCTTTCCTGCTGCTCCTATTCGACATTAGTACCCTTTAGAGTGTTTCTAAATGTCGTTTTACAGGTCTTGGGTTCTTTGCTCAAGCAAGGACGATTCCACAAAGCCGTCAACTACTTAGGACATAACGAGAACTTAGCTCGGACAGGTAAATATAACTTAGCCTTGAGTTTATAAATAATTAAGTGACCATCGTTTCAAGGATTTTCAAAAAAGAGAGCCTTTAACTGATACCTTTGCCTTGTTATCGAAATTTCTCAGCCGATCTCTACTATTCACATCTCAGAGTTTCCTGAGAGACAGAAGGCGTTTCCTACATACAAAAAAAATTCCAGAAATTTCGTGTGAAATTCCCATTAGTGAGGAACGTATCCTATACTTGACAAAAGTCCTAAAGCTAGGCGTGTGTCCTATTGAGATTAATCATTTTAGTTCGATTTTGTTTTCTCGTGTTATACTGATTTATAACCTTTTATACTCGAGTATAGTTGTTTGATCAATGGGCCTCCACGCAATCATCCCTAAATAAGAAGAGAAGGTCTCTGTTCACTATCTAAAGATGTCACTGCATATCAATCTAGTTTACTATTAGAATCAGCCACATTTATTGACCAAAGATCTAATTAAGCCTTCTAAAAACTATAAAATGTATAACAGCACCACCTTTTCAGACATTTCATATATAACGATATTTTCTCTTGGAATTATGTCTCTAACCTTAAAATATGTAAGCCCTCACCTTTTCTTTACCCGTATTTCTCTACCTTTACAAAGTATAATATACATTAGCTCTTCCTTTTAGCCCTCACTTTGGCTATAGATCTATTTACTGTGACACGATCAATAAGTTAGAGTTGGTAATTAATAGGCATGACACCGGTCATTTTTTTTTTTGCCATGATTTCATCCTTGGTAGGTTTGGTTGTTCACACGGTCCTTTATTCAGTTACAAAGCTATGGCGCGTTCTTGCAACTTGCATGAAGTTTCCAAAAAATCATGTTAAAATCTCAAGGAACACCTGTATGACACTTTAAATCGGTCTCAATTTCTTAGATTTTATAGACGCCCTCCAGGAACTGCCACTTACGGACGCCATGCTATCTTTCTTGTGTGGTGATAGCAATGAAAACTGCCTGTTTTCCATCAATGAGGTAACTTGACTATCAACATGTTTTAAAAATTTTTATTTACATGCTACCGTGCAAGCCGCTTCCAGTGAAAGCAATGCTACCCTAATTTATCAAATAGTGGAAGAGCAGACTTTATTTATCATGTTCTGAACCGCAAGACTCGTAAAATATGCTCATCTTTAGAACGTTTCTCACCTCCTCCCTCTCCCTTTCTCCTTTCGTGTCATACAATGAGGGTACTTGCTGTAACCAACAGACATTGAATCGTATTTAACCAGTAATTCTCTGATCTTACTCCCACAATCGATCGTTTCACTTTCAGTTCACTAATTTCCCAAATGGGTATTCAAAAACGATGTGTGACAACAGTTTTTCAGATATCCCAAATGGGTTTCACGGCTGCAGGGTAATGGAGGCGTGGGAGAGGGGAGGGGAATAACAGCAGAAAAAGCCACACATCGAACGGTAGAAAGAGCAGCGTTCATATGGTAACATGCTTATGGACTGAGGTAGTTCGTGATGGACGAGCAAATATTTCACTCTTAAGCTAAATAATCAGTCAAAAGATATATCTCAAAATATCCCAACGAGTGTCCAGACAGAAGCGTAAGAAATCAGCCTTACGTTTCCATTCTCTCTTTCAGGCTGCTGATCTTTTGGCACATGTGCTTGTGAACTCATCCCTCCGTCATGCTGCCAATAGAGAGCACGGAGAAGGAATTGTTCCTTAAGACTAACGTAAAGGACACAAAACATTTTTAAAGTAGATAATTCATTAGCAAATTTCGTCAACACATCGGAGATTATTTTGCGGATTACAAACAGTAACTCTGGAACGTTTCTAGTGGTTCTCCCCAGTTTGAAGTGATCATTCTTCATTCGTTTTCAAATCACACTTTTGCTTCACAATCCCATGAAAATCGTCGAACACTCAATAATGTACCTACCGCGTTAACCAAATGTTATTAAAATTAATCATTGGTCCGACCATGTGGTCATTAATTTTAAAATCATCTTTCCCTCAATAGACAGGAAAAATATCAGGAATTGAAAAGAAATATCTTCGCCCTTTCAAACTAATTTCGCACCCTGCACGACATTCTACATGCGATTGAGTGTATTTTTTCTGCGTACAACTATATGCTTTGCGCGAATAATTTGCGCTTTACGCGTGCAACGCGCGTGCAATTCGAGATGAAAAACCACTTCTTCTTGGATTTGTAAATAATTTTTCTTTAGGCCTTGAGTATTCGTCATATGAAATATATGACGCCAAATAGATTTATTGTTTTACCGCTGACTCTATGTTACTGTACCGTGTATTGACCTTGCTTCCCAAGTGACGAAAGCTAACGAAGGTAAGATTGTTTGACTTTAGCCAGCATTTTCCATCCCTCGCTTATACTTAAATCTATGAACATCATCTATTTTGTTCGTAATTTCGTTAGGGAGCACGCAAGATGAAAATTGTGTGCTCTAAGTAATTGCCTTGATCTAGAACTCGCGAGCTTTCGGCGATTAGACTGAGGCCAAAATAATTATATCCAACAGATCTTCTCAACAATAGCAGAGGTAGCGCTAGCGAAAGCTCGCACAATGAGCCCCCGTAAATGTGTGAATATGTTTATGTTGTGCTATGGGTGAAATGTTAGGTTTCTGTGAGAATGGACGGTCGCACTCTCAACCCAATAATCTGTGTTTGTTTTGGACTAAAACAAAACTATCTTCAGTAAAAGTTTGTCCCTTCGCATGAGTTTTTCGGCTGATTCATGGCCATTTAGCCGTTTTTAGTTTTCTTGCTTTGCCGTGTTGGCAAGCGATTGTTATTGTATTGATTTGCGAGGTTTATAAACATATATGCTGATACAAAGTTCATTCAAGATGAAGTAAAATATAACCTTTGTCACGCACTACGACGCATGGAATAAAAATGTTAAAAAATACATTTCACTTTTGTGGTTGTTAGCCAAATGCTCCCAGTATCTTCAAAAACACGATTTTAAATGTCTTTTATGGTGAATTTAGTCGAAATGATCCCATAATGCGACCCTGCAACTGTAATTCTAGTCCTCTGGCAGTATGGTAATGGCTCCTCATGCGTGACTAAGGGTGATACAACGAAATCATTCCTCCTACATGTTGTTTGAATGTGACTTTCATTGTGACTGTAACGCAACACTTAATAGTTAGTAGTTGTCTGCTCGTTTTCAAAAAGTGACTGCTCCGACGAAAAAAGATCAGCTTTACAATGTTCAAACTTGTTATGACAAAACGTAATTTTTCGACGTTGAACCTACCCTGCTGGGATAATATGTAGCCAGTTTGACAGGGAGATTTAACTGAGTAGGGAACTGTTGTTAAAAGTTATATATATTTTTTCTTTTTCTTTTTCCTTTAGGAAGTTTAGAAGCTCTACGGCGTATAAGTGCAACTCGTATTCTATTTCGCCCTTAATGGCGGCCAACAAATCTGCCAAAGAAATTCTGGCCTCTTTGAGAAATGAGCCATTCTCTGTGGAGACTGAAGAAAGGCTAAGAAGCCATGCTGTCGTCCAGGAAGCGAGCGCTGGAACACTCCCTCTGACAGTTGTGGAACGACTTCTCTGCGAACAGTATCACATAATAGCCTCTGACACTCGAAGTATGGAGCACCTAGTGGCCAGGTTCAACGCCAATGAGATCATTCGAGAGTATTTCCAGTTCTTTTTGACAGGCGAGAAGATAGCTTTTGACAAGCTTCTCAGCATGGCAAAAGCTATGAAGCTTTCAGATTCACATCTGGAAGGTTATGAGCCTCGGGCCGAAGCCCAAGCTTATCCGTCGTATTTGTGTCGTCTAGTCCATAATGGCGAAGCTCCGCAGATTGCAGCAGCCATTGCGGTTAATTTCCCAGCCTTTGGACGAATGTGTTCGCGTCTCGCAGATGCACTGAAAAAGAACTACCACATGAAAGAAGAAGACCTGGAGTTCCTTCGATTCTTTGGTAGTGGGGATTTAGACGACGGAGCTATAAAGGCTATTGAGGCTTATAACGCTGAGGCCGATAAAGGCACGTTCAAGAAAGTTCATTACAGTGATATTAAACGTGCAGTTCGTCTACTGCAAGCGTATGAAGTGATGTTTTGGGACAGTGTTTTCTCCAATCGTTAGATCTCGTGATGTAGGCTTTACTGAATGCTGGTGAAACTGTCTTGATTGCTTTCGCGTAGTAAGAGACAGTAGAATATATACGTGCATGAAATGGGTGCAAGTTTGGCGTTTGTAATATTACTACAATTTACAGAAATTGCTATAGAAAACAAACAAAAAAAATATATATGAAGATGTATATATTAATGGCGAGGAAACCCAATAAAAACCATTAATGCATGTCTCAAAAGCGGTGCAAGATAAGTAGACAACAGATAGAGTAAACGACGTGTCGGCAAGTCATGTCATAGTCCATAGTGGAATTAATAGTTGTTGGGAAAATGTAATTTAAATAGTTTCTTTTAAGTAAGCGAGGGATGAAGAGCCAGTGATATCAGGAGTAAGGAAGTCGAAAAACGTTCAACCTTGATAGGAAATGGTCAGTATATGTCATTCTGATAGTGGTACAGTGATGATCAAATCTCACTTCAAGAAATTGAAAAAGCCCTTTCCACTAATCTTTTTTATTATCTTTCACAGTATGATCGACCGCTACTTGAACTCACATATTATTTCTCTCTTCTTCTTGGAAATCATTGAGACCAACAATCGGTTGTTCGCGCCATAAACATTTAAACTCGTGTTTTCAAACTGATGGAAGCGTTCGCTGTGATTATTTTGGCTTCAAGTAATCTCGAATAAGTATTTCATAAAATTCTTCCTTTGCACCTGCCGCAGAAATCCACTTTCAATCAACAAGTCGGTGACAGTCAACCATTTAACTCCCCGCTGGACATTAATGCTAAATGCAATATTTCTTGAAAAACGGGTCATATAATTAACAAGGAGACTCTGTATGTTATAACAACTTTGGTCACGTGTTGCTAAATGTACCTTTCATATACTTAAAGAACAATTTATTTTGCCGTTCTGAAGGATTAGGGTTTTACAAACTCGTGCGAAGTAGTTTTTTTTTGTTCATTTGTGATAAAGTGGTAGTGTCGAAGCCGCAGCGATGTCTTCGTGTGAAAACAACGGAAACGCTCTACCTCAGTTTTTCTTCGGACTTCGACTTGGACCGCCGGTAAGCCCGAAGATCTAGGAACTAGAAAATAAACTGTTACGTTTGGCAGTCATTTGTAACCCGGTTTTATGTTCGCCTCGCTTCTCTTCTTTGTCACATGTTGCTGTTGGATTTAATATTCAATGGGTAAGTTGTTTGGGTTTACTTGAAGATAACACTTCAGATATACCTTTATTTCACCTTATTCCCATCGTGGTATGCTTAAGGGTGGTTTACATGTACAAATCTACCCTCATATCCAACTTCACAACGCAAATACTCAACGCCAGAAGCTACTGATTGACGATTTAATGAACAAATTAAAACAGTTGATGCGAAGCAACTGCTTTACATCAACATAATTTCAAAAATGAGGAATATGTTATTCCCTGAGATTGCTATTTGTTACTTTTTTGATGATTTTGAGATTTTACTTTTTCTCTGATGAAGCGGTTTGTTTTCTCTCGGCAGAAGTTTGTGTACTCCCGTCGCAGTACGAAATCCCGCAAACCTCATGCACAAGGTATGCAAATCATGATGGGCAGAATTATGCAATAGAATAAACCCTCAACTAAGCATTAGACACAAGAAACACCGCGATCAAAATTAGTTTACTTAAGGGAAACTCAAATTCTTTTGCAGTTCGTTATATTACAAATACTGAGCTGGAAGAGATATTCGCGAAATATTCGGCTTCCCCAAATACGAAATTGTCAGTAACGATAGCACATTTATTTCAGTACAGAAATGTCACGTTCTACATTTTAATCATAATAAAAACAATTGGACTGCACGATTCATTGCGGTTGATTGTCTAATGTTTCATTTGAGTGTAGGTATATAGAATTTAAACTCAAAATCGTAAGTACTTCTGTTCAAGGCACCTACTATTGAGCTGCCTCAACCACACTTCGCGCGAAAATTGTTCCTGTTGATTTCTTATTATTTATTTAGAAACCTTCTTTTCCGTATCAATTTCAATATTTAACCTGAAATTGAGAGAATCTTAAGATTTTACTTTGCATTCCCTCTTTGTTTGGTCGTGAACGATTTTTTTCCAATTGAAAAGCATTCAGCTATTAAATTACCAAATGATAATGATCGCTAGTCGCTTAAAATGCAAGGTTTCGTGGGATCAACCACATTTTTGATGGCTGATTATAATAACAAGAAAAATTGGAAATGACACTTTAGAAACCTTTTTACACAACCTTGGGTTACTTATAAAGCCGGGTGGAATCACCTCGAAAAGTAATGCCTTGTCATTCCAATGTTCAGAAGTGTTTTCGTGAAAAAAGCCGCAAAGCCGAGTTAGCCCTCTTTGCTGGGTAACCCTTGTCGAGACGCGGAATGAAGTGCCAGAAGGGGTTGAGATTTGTAAAACGCTCTCATGTAAAAACTGGCCCTTAGCTAACCAGGCCTTTTGTGCTCAGATAAACGGGTTTCTTTTTTTTTTTTTTTTTACTTTACGATTTACTTCCATTCCGACCTACTCAACATTGCATTTTTCCTTTATTGCTCATGTTGTCTAGTTTTTAAGTCGATGGAAAGACA